ACATACAGGACCAACAGCCATTTAGTGGTGGCATTGTTGCCAGCTCTTGTATGAACCACTACCCTTCTTTGTGGAAGGCCTAGGGGTGAGGAGGACACCTTGTCCACCAGCAGTGGGCATGGTGTAGAAATCTCAGTCCCCTACTTGCTGGTGTTGGAGAAACCCTCACCAACAGGAATGAAGGCAGGGGCCAAGGGCACCTTCATCAGGGCAATGAGCAGAGTAAGGAGCAGACAGGTCCTGGCTCCATCCTGTACGTGAAGTGTTCCCAGGAGTACCTTACGATGCACACCAGCCCTGGTCCAGGAGAGCCAGGGGAGGATGAAACAAGGGAAAGCCATAGCTGGCGAGCAAACTCTCTGCCCCAAACCCCCCTACAAGGAGCAGCAAGTATCCAAGTATCTGTAGACCAGCCTCATCCCATTCCTCTTGGCTTTCCCTGGGAAAAAGAAAGGTTTTGAAACGTCATTAAAGGCTCAGATCCTTGAGATATGGGAACTATATTCCACAAGGTGGAAAGCAGAATAGAATGAGATAGTGCTTGCAAGTTAGAACATAACCAAATGGCAATACTTGGTGCATTATCAGCTCTCCACCTCCAGCTAAAAATAATAAATAGAAGGAGAGCTATAATGTAAAGGAAAGAAAAATCTGGTTTCCCTCTGTGCTCAAAATAAACACAGCAAAGCCAAGTCTCCACCCTCCCTCTCCACTCACACCCACAGTGGAAGAAAAGGGACTGTGAAATTCCAGCAGTGTCTCCCTAGCAAAGGCTTGGTAACGAACGGCAGATGCCGCTGGCTGCTAGGATGTTCCCCACCTTTCCAGGCCCCTTTGAGTTGAAGCAGAGGGACTCAGCTAAAGCCTGGCCCAGCACACACCTACCTGGAGAGAGTTGACGAACTCAGGTCTCATTTGTTAAGGGACACAGGGCAACGATTACAAGGGTACACTGGTATCTTTGGGGGATGGAGCAAGTCAAGGAGGCCCAATGAGATAAGTATGCATGAGGAAGTGTGCCTGCAGGAGGAGACAGGGACAGTCCCCGCTCGAGTCCCTTGTGGAACCCTGATGCCGGTCTGTGCTCCTGGTGAATTGCTGTGCAGTCACAGAAGCCCAGAGGCCTAAGAAGTGCTGCTGAGTGAGCAGTGGCTGCTGGCGGACTGGACAGTGCTCATCACACCTGGAGGCAGGAGCTGGGGGCCCCTGCAGGAGCAGGCATGGTGCTGGGTGTTGAGCAGATCACTGCCGTTGCTAGGAAGTGGCTCTTATGATGCCCGGAGCCACTAGGCTGGCGCCACCAGCAAGAGTCCGAAGTCCAGCCTGGGTCAGAGAGGTCCACAGCGGCCTTCCCCACAGGTGCACAGGGACAGGCGCTGGCTCGTGATGCGTGTTCCGCCGTGCTCAGGGAGGGGCAGCAAGAACTAAAGATCCTTCTGGGAGTTCTAGAAGGCCAGTGCTTTTCAGGTGTGGGCAGCACCTGCTCACAGGGTCGCACACAGTGGACTAGAATCGTCACTGTATAGCCTCATCTTCAAAGTCATGGAGGAGGAGATACGACTCAGTTACGTTATGTATTTGTCAAACACAGTGAAAAGGCTCAAAGCACCCTCCTTTGTGCATCGTTTGGTGCTCCGCACGTGACAACTTTACTAAGGCCATGGCCCGGCCTTCTTTCCAGCTGTCAGGCTGTTCCTGTTCCTTGGCTGCCTGGAGAGAGCTAACGCTTGCTTCCAGGCTTGCTCGGCACCCTGACTGTCACTGTCACTCGTGCAGATCCGTATCACAGACACACGCACACTGCAGCCTATCTCTGAGCTGCACTGGCACTTCTGGACAGCGCGCAGTGTCTAACTGGGTGTCACCTGACGCCTGGCTGAGTGACTTTCTCATTGATGAAGTGAAATACCTGACGCAATTCTAGAATCTGAGGAGAGGGGCTCATGTTAGCTTACAGTTCATAGAGGGTTCAGTCTGCAGTGCTCTGGCTCCAAGGCAGGGCGGCATGGCACAGGTGAGTGGTGGAGGAGGAGCTGCCCAGCATGACCGCAGAAGAAGGCCGCCAGAAAGAGAGAGAGAAGGGCAGGGGAGGGAGGGAGGGGGAGAGAGAGAGAGAGAGAGAGAGAGGGAAAGAGAGAGAGAGAGAGAGAGAGATACAAGCAATGGCCGTGACTCATCCACATGGCTCACACTGACAGAGGATCTACAAAGTGCGGCTCAGGGTTACAGGATAAATCCTGAGGGGACTTGACTGACCTTATCAGATACAAAAGTTACATTTCTTGCAATATAGGTCTTGCTTTATCTTGGTCTTAACCATCCAGCAGAAAAGTATAAAAACAAGGTAAATAAAGTAAAGCCATATTAACAGGCTGAGCTGTGAAAGGCTCAAGTCAACAACTTCTGTGGATAACCCACTACTATTGTGGACTGCTCGACTGTGTTGGATTGTTTTGCTGAATTCACGCACCTATAGTATTTAGATGCCAATGGGATACCCATCTCTGACAGGACTAAACAAAAAAAGGGATACAAAGGAAAGACCATTTTGTATCTGTATATGCAGAACAGTTAGAATAGATATACAGCTACTTTTGCTTAATTCAATGAGAAGAAAGATTTGTACTAATAGAGTTTGGACAGGATATCCTGTCTGCTTCTTGTACTATGGATAACCATGAAGAAGATAACAATGTACAATGTATGAATTGTTGAAACTGTTCTATTAATCCGCTTTGAAACTGTCTCATTGATATTTGTTTCTCAAGAAAATACGATAAATAAAAATAAAAAGAGACAGAGACAGAGAGAAACACAAAGAGAGACAGAGACAAAGAGAGAGATAGAGAGAGACAGATAAAGACAGACAGACAGAGACAGAGACAGAGACAGACAGAGAGACATAGAGAGAGACAGAGATAGAAATGGAGAGACAGAGAGACAGACAGACAGAGACAGACAGGCAGAGAGAGAGAAAGAGAGAGAGAGAGAGAGAGAGCGAGAGAGAGAGAGCATGAACCCTTCCAGCCCATGTCCCCTCCTGTAGACAGGCAGGAGTGGATGAGGACATTTCTGGGAGAAGTTATGTTTAAATCTGTGACACTGTAGGGGAAAATAAATTGGCAAAACAAATTTCAAAGCCCTGACATCATTTTGAATATGTTTATTCCACACCAGTAAAGCCAGTTGGAAAAGACAGAAAGGAAACAACTTGACGATCAAGATGAACTCAAATCGCAGCTGTCCTCTCAGTTCTATTCTTTCCCATTTCAATAACAAAATCAGCTAATGACTGCAGTAAGCAGATCACCTCATTGTTCTGCTAATGGGTGATGAATGCCCTGACTTGGTTCAGTTTATATCAACAGACCTCTTTCTTCCTTTGCTTATTTCAATACTCTCCAATAGACTGAAAGGCCCGCAGGGCCAGCGAGAAAGCTCAGAGGTCTAAGCCCCTGCCTGGCAAGCACAAGGACCTGGGTTTGATCCCAGGTACCACGGAGATCTGCCATGGTGGTGCAACCCTGTATACCAGCGCGGGGGAGGCTGAGACAGGAGGATCACTACGAGTCCTAGCTGTGTAAAACCCTGTACCAAATAAATGAAAGATTAAAGGAAAAGAAAAAGAAAAAGAAGTTGAAAGGCTCACAGCCTCAGAGACTGGGGCGCTGAGCACCTGGGCCAGTTCTGCTTCTGTGCAAGCCGCCACACTTGCGGTCAGCAGCATGTCTGAAGAACTGAAAAGCTTGACTCAAAGCAAAAAGCCCAACACTGGGAAAGCAGACAAGTCCTAGTCCCACTCCTGAGCCTGGCCACGGCATGAGCAGCGATGGAAGGCGAAGGGGAGAGCACAAAGCCCACGCGGAGCAACATTTCCAGGCAGGCTTGCTGCTGTCCAAAGGGTGTTGGCATCATTCGCCAAGATGTTCCTGGGATGACAAAATCAGAAAGGAGGAAACTGCCAGCGCACTCTTGCCATTTTGCTGTTAGACAGGTGCTAAGATCCAACTAGTTTTCCAAGTCTAATAATACCTGTGGGGTCCAATTGTGTGTGGCTCAAAGGTGTGGGAAACCCTCCTGGCAACCAGACACACATTTGCAGTGTTTTATTTGGGAAAAACACCAGCAGAGCGAGTTAAAAAATGCTCGCCCCACTCCACAGGGTCCTGTAACTGCAGGAGGAGGAGGAGGCAGAGACGGAGGGTGGCTGGGGCTCTGGGTGAACCTCCACCTCAGAAGCTGGTGGCCCAGCTGTGCGGAGGTGGGAGCTGGGGGCCCAGAGCTCAGGAATCCGCACGGCAGGGCTGCGCCTGCCCTAGGTCCTAGGCCTAGCTGCCCTCTCCTGCAAAGACGTCCATCTTCAGGTAGAGCAGTGGAGTAAGAGCGTGGCCCTCAGATCTCAGCGCACCAGAGCCCTGGGAAGGAAAACCTAGCTGCCGGACAGATGCGCACGTGACGGGCACATTCCTCGCTGGAGGGTCACCAAGCCAAGGCTCCTGGCTGCACCGGGAAAGGAAGTCTGTGGGGAGAGGAGGCCCGGGAGCGCTCAACGGGATGGCGAGGAAGGGGAAGGGGAGGAGGGAAGAGGAGCAGAGAGAGCAGCGAAGGGAGGTAGTGGGAAGAGGAAAGGAGAGGAGGAGGGAAGAGGAGGAAGAGGAGGGGGAGCCGCGAGGAGCAAGGGGCGTGGCCAGGTGGCCTCCGGCCTTTGCCTTATAGGGGGCGGAGTCCCGGCTCGCCCTGCCCAGGCCCGCCCACCCACCTCGGCCCGCCCCGGTCCTGCCCACTCTCACAGGCCCCGCCCCCGGCTCCGGGAAGGATGCGGTGGCCGCGCAGCGGCGGCGCACACTGCAGCTCAGGGCGGTGCAGGCGGTGGGGCGCGGACCGGGGCCGGGGCG